ACTCACCCCGTTCCCCCGGGCCCCGCCAGGCGCGGCTCCGGCCCAGGCCCCGGCGGCCCCATTGTGCGGGGCATTGTGGGAGTGACGTCGCTCTCCCGCTTCCGCCTCGATGGTGGCCGCTTCCCGCTAGAGAGGCCGTTCTCTGCGGGCCCCGGGGCATGCCGGGATGGGGCCGCCTCTCGTTGACCTCCGCCGAGCAGTCATGGCGGCGCCGCCGGTCCTCGTCCTCCTCTTCCTCCACCTCCTGGTGATGGCGGCGGGAGGAGGCGGCGGCGCGGCGCCCGCCTGGGACCCGGCCGGTTACCTGCTCTACTGTCCCTGCATGGGTGAGGCTCTCCCGCCCAGCGCGGAGCCCCCGGCGGAGGCCCCGGCTGAGCCCCGCTCTCGCCTCTCTTGCAGGCCGGTTCGGGAACCAGGCCGAACACTTCTTGGGAGCCCTGGCCTTCGCCCGCGATCTCAACCGGACCCTGGCCGTGCCGCCGTGGATCGAGTACCGCCACCATCGTCCGCCCTACACCAACGTGAGACCCTCCCCGGGGGGCTGGGCGGGGAGGGGGCGGCGGGCAGAGGGTCGTGGTCTTTCCTGGGGGGGAGGTAAGGTGCGGGGCCCGGGGAAGGGAAGTTTTGCTCCCCGGGGCTCTGCTGTGCGTTACCGGCAGCCGGTGAGCGAGGCGGGCCCTGTCCTCCCCAGCTGCACGTCCCCTACACGGAGCACTTCAAGCTGGAGCCGCTCCTGCGGTATCACCGCGTTATCAGCTTGGAGGACTTCATGGAGAAGCTGGCACCCGTTCACTGGCCTCCTGGCAAGCGAGTGGCTTACTGCTTCGAAGCGGCGGCTCAGAGAAGTGCTGACAAAAGCACTTGTCCCATGAAGGTGAGTTCCTCCTGCATCCCCTGCGGGCGCAGTTTAAGCCTGCTGCCGCTCCAAAAGGAGTGACCGGCTCTTTCAGGTCGCCATTGATTGCAGACTTAGGAGTTATCCACCCCAAATCAGTCTGTGCGGCGTTGCTTTCACCACTTATCGGTGTGGCTTGGGGCGCCTTCGTGCTTTTCTTTGTCAGCAAATGCTGGGGGCTCAGGAAGATGGTCTGTGTGAGTAGGCGTTATCACTTCAGACTTGATTGTGAGCGCAAGGAGAACAGATCTGTAGCTTATCTTCTACTGGTCTCTGCCCGTTTCCCATTTGTGGTGCAGTTGTCCACCTGGTTTTAAAGCAACCTCTTTTAAATGCAAGTTTGAGAGCTGTGCTGTTCTTGTTCTTTAAGACAGCCTTTGCATTAGTTCTCAGTTAACTTTCCTTAATGCGTTTCGCTCTCTCCTTCCTGTGGAGCTGATATGTGACAAACAGGCTGCTGTATTCGGTCTGCTTTCCTCCTGTAACAGAAAAGCTCTTCAGCTTTGCTCCCCAGGATCTTGCTAGGTCTGTCGTTCAGGCTCTGTGTATGCACCAAATGAACGCTTGTCTTTCCTTTGCAGGACGGAAATCCATTTGGTCCCTTCTGGGATCAGTTCCAAGTGAATTTTGACAAGTCTGAGCTCTTCAAGGGAATCTCCTTCAGTTCTGCGTACAAGGACCACTGGATTCAAAGGTAGCGAGATGATGGAAAAGTGCTGGCATGCAACTAGAGAATAACTCACGAAAACAGTTCTGCTAGTCACTGTGTAAAGCCTTTGCATTTTGGGGGAGAGACTGAAGTGGTTAGTTAGCAATATAATTAAAAATCTTTGCGCTTTTTCCATTAAATATTCTCTGAGCATCCTCTTCCTGTGGGCAGTATTAGGCGTGAACTCTGTTAGCCTGATTGATTTCTCAGCCAGTAATATTTAGTTACAGTATTTATTGGCTACATATGTAATTATTCTTCAAAAAGAATTTGGCTCTTGGTTGCTGATCATGAACTGTATTTTGCTGGTTACCTCATGTTTTCAGAGCTACGAGTGACTTTAGTGGCATCATATCAGTAAGTTTCGGTGACAGAATTGCTCCAGTCTGAGGTGAAAACGTAAGCTCTCATTGCTTGGTAGCTCATCGCTATGTGTATGAGATTCTTAAGCCTTTTTGCCTGTCAAATACAAGGTCTGAGGTAAAATGCAGTGCCAGAGTTTTCTTCAATGTTGTGTTCAGATGGCAAAATAGTTAAAGCTGATCTAAATTTGAAGCAACAGATGCTGCATATTTCAATGTGTTCATAGTTTCCATTCTAACCTTCGCGGTAGTCTTTGTGCAAGATGATGCATGGAAGGTTATGTGGTGTTTCAGATTGTTGGGGTTTTTTTCCTTAGGTTTTCACCCTCTGAGCACCCTGTACTCGCCTTACCTGGAGCTCCAGCCCAGTTTCCAGTCTTAGAGGAGCACCGGCCCCTCCATAAGTATATCGTGTGGTCTGATGAAATGGTGAAGAAAGGAGAAGCCTATATTCATTCTCTGCTGGTCAGGCCCTACGTAGGAATTCATCTGAGGATCGGCTCAGACTGGGTATGGCTCCTGTGTGAGGCTGGTTGCTGTAGCCTGTGCAGTTGCTATAGATGGTGGCTAAAGCTCTGTGGAAGAAGCTGTGCGAATTGGGGCTGTCCTTCTGGGGTGGCAGCCCGAACCCTGCTGGCATTCAGTAACTCGCTGTGTGTCAGCAATGCCGTTGGGATTCCTCTTTCAAACAGGCTGTAACGCTGCTGGCAGTGGCGGGGGACGTGGTGGTGTTTTCTCACACTGTTGCCGTTCAAATGTGGTATTTTCTCTTTTCTTCTTCCAATAGAAAAATGCTTGCAATATGTTAAAGGACGGGACGGCTGGGCCGCACTTCATGGCTTCACCTCAGTGCGTGGGCTATGACCGAAGCGCTGCGGTCCCTCTTACCATGGACATGTGCCTGCCAGACCTCAAAGAGATCAAGCGTGCTCTCAAGCTCTGGGTGGAAAAGACAGAAGCTAAATCTGTTTATATCGCTACTGATTCTGAGCCCTACACGACAGAAATACAGCAGTTCTTCCAAGGAAAGGTAGGTTTTTCAGAAACCCGTTCTGGCAGGAGTGCTTTAATAAAAACCTTCCTTGGATTCTGGCCCGTTGCTGCCACGGATGGCAGGCAGGCAGTTGTGTAATATGTTATTCACAGCCAAATATTGGCATCTCAAAGTAAATTTTACTCATAGCAATAAAAATTATACTGTAAAACTCTTCCTTTCCTGGAGGTTGAAGAGCATTATCCTGCATGGTAGTAAATTTCTCCTTGAAAAAGACTTCAATTAAATAAACCTAAGTGATTTTCAAAAATGTTTTGACATTTATCTATTCATAAATGAGTTATAGGGCAACTTAAGGCAGAATCCACTCTCTTTTTATTGTATATTCCCATGTCTAATATTATCCAAGACATTTGGATTGTAATAATAGATGACTGGATTCATCTGCTTTCCTTGTTTCTCCGCAGGTCAAGGTTGTAAGCTTGCAGCCGGAAGTGCCTCAGATTGATTTGTATGTTCTTGGCCAGTCTGATCATTTTATTGGGAACTGTGTCTCTTCGTTTACTGCCTTTGTGAAAAGAGAGCGCGACGTGCATGGAAGACCCTCTTCGTTTTTTGGCATGGACCACCCACCAAGATTACGGGATGAATTCTGACCAAAAGAGGAGCTGGCTCCATAGTTCTCAGGGCTCTGAGCTTGGTATCTTGCTGAGAGACTGCTTGGTGCTAATGTCATTCTGCGTGCAGAGCACGCTGCCAGGCTGCTGCAGACCTGCTTCAGCCCTGTGATACCCCTCACAGTCGCTTCTAGATTGTTCTGTCTGACTTCTCCTGTATTTCCAGCATGAGGTCAGACAGAAAAGAAGTTTTAAATCATGTAGTTTATAGGAAACTATAAACTATATATAATTTTTAAGACATAGCTTATATAGCTCTCCATTCTCACTATTTGGGGTCCACCAGCAATCATGATGAAGCAGCTGCTCAGATTTCCTCTTCATTTTTTTTTTTTTCTGTTAAATTTAAGTTTTACCTGGAGATGTTGTGAAGCTTCTTGTCCAAAACTGACCATAAGTTCTTTTTAAGTGCAAAGTATTGCCAGGAATATCACAGTCCCTGGAAAGGGAGTGCAAGGTAAAGCTCAGGACTGGAAATTAGCCCTGGGTTTTATTGAGTACCGCTGTTGCCTTACTAGAGCTGTGTCACCTCAGTGCCTCGGTTTCCATTCCCTCGTCAAAAGTGATTTCACGCCTGCTTCGCAGCGGTGCCATGGGGCACCTGGATCTCTTCAGTGGTGCTAGAGAAGTGCAGGGACGGGGGGCGTGTTTTAATGTGGCAGCTGCCTCTTCAGCCCATCTTTGTGTGGAACTGGGGAGAAGGCGTTTGCAGGAAGACAGGCGGGAGATCTTTCATAGCCAGTTGAGAGTTGGAGATTTAGGGCTCGTAGCTTTGTAGCTGTTGATGTCAGGTGGAGGTCTGTGGTAGGAATGAAACTGGCTTTGAGCAAAGACTTTTAAAGTAGCCATAGTGGGGTTGGTGTATGTTGTACCTAGGTCTGTGTTAATAGTTTCTCATTTTTGTCTATTTTCGTACCTTGTAAAATAACCCCTCTGACAATAGAACCCTTGTCTGGGGCTTAGTTCCAGGGGAGATAGCTGTGGGAAGTGTTCACTTATGGTGAAACAGCCGCCCAAAAAATGTTCATTTGGCCCAGTACGGTTTAGTGCCAGTAACGCTGATAATCCCGACGTGGTGAGACTCAACTTGAGCAGTGCCTTTTGGTATTCTTGTGACTTTATTTTTTTGTCCAAAGACTGAGTACAGAACCCGCTGTTCCTTTTTTAAAAATGCCACTTAGGTGAAGCTGTGGTATCAGGGCTGGCTGCCTCTAGTGCACTACTAAAGAATGCTGTCTCGGCGTGTTTACGGGGCTTTAAATGTCTTTTTGGTGGTGGGTTTTTTTCCTCCTTGGAAATGTTCCTGAGCTTTGAAGGAGTTTGAAGGCTCAAGAGAGGGCTAAATGAGAAGGTCCACCAAATGTCAGGGTGGCAAAGACTCGTCTCGTTTCCTCAGTGCTGGCTTCCAGAAATTGGGGGGTTTGGTGGTTTCAGGCCCTCTGGCTGGGTGCCTGGACGCTGCCCGGCATTTCACTCGGCTTCGTGATCTTGGATGATGCCGCCTCATTATGGAGCAGGGGCAGCCTTTCTGCATCGTCTATGGGAAGACGATGTATTAAATGTTTTTTTTAAAAAAGGTATTTTTTGTAATAATAAAGACCTGATTTTGTATTTGCTCATACTGCACCGACATTCCTTCCTCCCTCGCGGGGTGCCCAGCAGCCGCACACCAGTTCCCTGCCCGTTTCCCAGGCTCCGGTTGGGGCAAAAAAACCCCAGGATTTTGGGGGTTTGGGGAGCGAGAGGTTCATCCCGGGGGGGGGAGCGGGCGGCCCCTTTGTCCCGGCTCCATCCGGGGCCGGTTGCTACGGAAATGGCAGCGTGGGGGGCGGGCGCGGGCGCGTTGCTAAGGAAGTGCGTCGAGGGGGCTTCTCGTCGCTTCCGGTGCCGCGGGAGGAGGCGGCCGTGCGGCTCCATGGTGACGGCGCAGGTGAGTCCGGCCCGGCCCGGCTCGGCTGGGCTGTACGTGGGCCCCGCCGCGGCCCCGTCACCCCCGCCCGTGTACGGCGGGGACCCTCCCCAAGGGGCCGCCGCGGCCCGGGGGCTCTCACCCCAGCGTCGGTCCGCCGGTACCCGCGCGGGTGTGACAGCCCGGGGTACCCGCTGCCCCTGTGGTGGCCTCCATTTGCACGACTGGGCACGGCCTCGGCTGCGGGGATGTCGGTCGGGGCAGCGAGAGAGGGAGGCGGCAGGCCCTGCCCGTGGGGAGGCCGCGGGTGCGTGTCCCCGTTTGGGCCGGTGTCTCCCTCCCCCCCGTCGCCGCCCCCGCCTCGGGGACGGCCCGCTGTCCCCGTCCCTCGGGCTGGGGGTCCAGGCTGTCCCCGGGAGCCCTTCCCTGCTGTACCTGGTGTCGCAGCGGCGAGGGTGGCGGGCGGCGCTCGGCTGAACTCATAACCAGAAACGAACTCGGGGTCCCGGCTGGAGTGGGGGTCCCGTACCCACCATCTTCCCCCGGGAGAAGGGGACAGCCGTGGGATGCCGTGCTGAAACAGATGGAGGTGACCACAGGCACGAAGCGAAATCGGGGTGCGCAGCAGCAGAGGTGATGCTGGGGATGTCCTGTTCGGGCCGTGGTGCGGTCAGCAGGGAAGGAAAGAGAAGGTTGGCTCATGAAGGAGTAAAAGACACAAGCAGTTAAGCCAAGACGTGAGGAACCCACAAATATTTGAAAGATTTAAACTGCAAGAAAGCGATGGAATTTTTTAAGTGGTACCTGCAGAGAGACGCGAGGGAAGGGTTTAGGCAGCATACCGAGAAAATCTTCCTGAGATCTTTAAACTTAAGCCAGGAAGCAGGGAAGCCTCAGGACTTCAGCCTGACAGGGGCAGGCGGGATACGTGACAGGTGGCCCGTCAGAGCGTAGCGTTCCCTGGACACGGCTGGCTGAGCACGCAGGTCCTGACTCCTGCAAGTTTCTGAGGAGAAGTGGTTACCTTAGCTTACCTTCAGGTTGTGGCATTGCTTGTTTTTTCAGGCACAGCCTTGTGTTGACTGAAATAAACAAAAATGCTTGGGTTTCTGCCCACCCTCCCCTCTTGGTTCACCTGGAGCACGTCTTCAAAGGCATTCATCTTGACCTTGACTCTTAGGGACCTGGCCCAGGTTGCTTTAGGCTGAACTAATTTCATGGACAAAGCCCTCTCCCTGTAGCAGAAGAGCGGGTGGCACGGTGGCCTTCCTGCTCCGGGCAGTTCAAACGTTGCCATGGAGTTTCTGGGGAATACAAACACTGCCAACTAATTGGTTTTATTTTTCAGTTACACACTTGGCTAAGTCTGAGAAGAAACATCATTTGTTATGCTTCCAGTAAACTTCACAGCAGTAGTTAAAATAATTGGAGATGATTTGTAATAGATTGTTATGAAAATAGCCCAAATCAGGGGTAAAAGAAGTTATTTGTGACTATAAAAAGAGACTTGCGAGTGAAATGGGGAAAGGTGTCAAAAGATTATCAAGATCACGTTGATGAGTTATACCCAGAGAAACGGCAAATATGCAACATAATTTTTGTTCAATGTACACCTCTGCGGAGGGGACACGCTGAATATTTCACTTCTAACTTCTGGGTGAGCTATGAACGGTGATGTATACTCTTGTGAAAAAAACCCAGTCTATGTGAAGATTAACTTAATTCTGATAATTTAATGTTAGTCACAGTTGCTTACAAAAGCAGCACTTCTCATCAAACTAGTATTTTGGATATTAATTATATAAAATAAATCAAGGCTCTGCTTTTCAGAATTCATGCCTAATTTGAGAATTTGCCAATGTGAACATTCACCATAATAATGCAGATAAATGAAGCAGCAGTTGTTATGTGACCCTGTCCAAAATAATTGTTTCTTGTGAACTTGAACTATAGGAGTATCTCTGGTAGATATGGAAGGAGAAGAGTCTATTTGTGTGTACAACTATTCATGATGAGTAGAGGGAGAGTTGCTTGTTGTGATTCTGCAAGACTTGTCCCCATTTCACATATTCTTTCTCTGCTGGTATTCTAGAATACATGTTCCTTGTGGGTCAGATAGTAAGGTCATCTTTATTTGGAGTTGTCAGTTAAGAGGGAAATGTTTTTATTCAGTAGCAATCCAAAATTCCTGTAGTAGTTTGAATTCACTGTGCAGGTTGTAAAGTGCTTCTTCTGGATGATTGTCCAGTTTGGTCAATTCAATGGACGTTTCTTATCTTCCTCCTGGTAGCTACCATGCACTTTCATGGGAATAGTGAGGAGCAAGGAGTTCCCCCTCACAAAAATAAGGAAGTTCCGAAGGCCATATTGAGGTTTCCATACAATTCTTAAACGTGTTTATTTGTTACTCTTGTGTTATTCTTTGTAGTGCAGACTGACAGTCTGAGTTTTGGGCTAGAAATGTTCTGCTTCCTTTCTCAGTCCTCTGGCTCTGCTCCTGAAGTTCTCTGTCACTGTGTTTGAGAAGCTCTCCTGATGCAATTATTGAGTAAAAAACAGTTGGGCAAAATCCGTGGGTTGCTGCAGATCCAGCTGGTACGTGGAACAGCGAGAGTGTCCTGAGGAGGCCAGACTGAATGCATGCTAGAGCTACCTGGGGTTTCCAGTGTGTATTACTTTTACATTTAGTTCCAGTTGGCGGAAATATCTCAGAGCTCTTCCTGAAAGATATTTTTGAAACAAACAAACAAACAAAAAAACCCAAACAAAACAAAAACCCAAACCTTATTAGAAATCACACAGCATTCCACAAGCTGTGCCGTTTAGATCTTCTGTGTAAGGCTGTTGCTTTAGCAGTAACACAATCTTTTTGTTCTGTTTTAAATGGCAGCTCATTGTGGTAATGACTGGGGGCATTTCTTCCTCTCTACCCAGAGTCATGAAGGACTTAGATCTGTGAACTGGGTTTCTGCAACATGAGTTTAGATTGATGCTGAATCTTGTAAACCTGATTCAGTTGGAACACCAGAGCAGAAGCATGGAGTGTAGTTCAGTAGGTTCATGTGCTTGGGCAGAGCTGGCTTTCATGGGAAATCCCAATAAAAGTATATTGCCAAAAGAAAAATAATAGCATAGATCTGTGTGAACAGTTGTGCTTGAAATATCTAAAGCAAGTATGGTTGTCTTCAGTTTCCCCATAAAAACAGATGTGTGAGTTCTAGCTGAGGAAGACACTCATGCCAGTTTGCAGGATCCTTTCACAGGCGGCAGTCACATTACAGAAAGAGGAGGGTGGGCTTGAAGGAGTGAGTGCTTTATGAAATTTTTATAAGAAGTGATATGAAAGGAGCTTAAACTCACCTTCAGAAGTCTGAGAAGGGCAAACGCTGGCAGGTGTCCACTTCACACTGATGTCCTCTGGTTGCTTGAGCATTAGACGAGGCATAATGTAGATTACTCCACCTTTATAGCTTTTAATTCCCTTTATAGGGAATGCTGCTCTTTGTTTTAGGTGTGCTGATGATACCGGTGCAAAAAATATAAATGCAAGATCAACATTGACTGGGCAGTTTGGAAGTGGGGTAGAAAGACGAAGGGTTCTGAGGCTGTGGGCATGCTGAAAGTGGCCATCCAGCGTCAGGGGGAGCAGCTGTGCTTTGCCTGGGTGCACCCCGGGACGAGCATAGGACCAGAAGTGACTTTCAGTGTTGGGGTGTGAGGGGCCTGAACTTACAGGGCTGCAGCAGTGCCTTCCGTGGTGGCACGTCACAGGTATCCTATGGCAGCACGCACCCTTGCCTCGCTGCAATTAGGTGGTGGAAATATTCCTCTTTGTTGCCCACTGATTTCAGAGCCCACCTCACTGGGGTAGTTCACTCCCCTTACTGGTTTGTTTTACCATATTTGCGAGTGTTGGAAGACTGTGCTACATTCGGCGGCTTTAATGGTTTTCTTTGTAATGAGCTAGATTGCAAGACTGGGTGAAAACTTTTCTGCAACAATTATTTTCACTCGATTCTTGACAGAAAAAAAACATCAGTTTTCCCAAGTGTGGAAATGCAGAATATTCAGCGGATGTGATGCCTGGAAATGGACAAACTGTTTAATGATTTTATCTTGAATCCTTGCAGCTGCTGCAGCCCAATTAAAGATCTATTATTCTGTAAGCAGGCATCTAGAAAGTGATTTTAAAAGTGTAATGCACAAGAGGAAAAAAAACATTTGGGTGGCATTCCAGGGAACTGCTGTCATTTAAAAAATACCCAGGCATAAGTTTTAAACCTTCTGTGGCAGGGTGATCCTCATGACACATCTGTCCTGGTTTTGTCTGGGACAGAGTTAATTTTCTTTCTAGTGGCTGGTATAGTGTTATATTTTGGATTTAGTATGAGAATAGTGTTGATAACACACTGATGTTTTCAGTTGTTGCTGAGTAGTGTTTAGACTAAGTCAAGGATTTTTCAGCTTCTCATGCCCAGCCAGCAAGAAGGCTGGAGAGGCACAAGAAGTTGGGAGGGGACACAGCCAGGACAGCAGACCCAAACTGGCCAAAGGGGTATTCCATACCATGTAACATTATGCCCAGTATATAAACTGGGGGGAGTTGGCCAGCAGGGGCGCAGATTGCTGCTCAGGAACTAACTGGGCA